CAAAACTAACTGCATTTTTAAAGCACTGGAAAACATAATGAATGTTTGTTTGACTTCATGCACACAATATTAGAATAAACAAACAAAAGAAAAAAATCCATCTTATTCCATTTTCATAAGTTTTTGAAAAAGCTGCAGGGAGCTGCAAGGGGGCTTTGTGACAGTTGCCGACCCCTGATATAGAGGATGTACAGAATATTTGCATAGTTGCTTCAATTTATACATAAAATGTTATTTACGAAACATAGAATAAACATACCATGAGCCTACTGGTGGAGAAACCGGTAAGCTTGAAAACACATCAGTTGCTGTCAAAATGGGGTCTTGAGGAGATGTCATTTTGCTTTTAAACTAAACTTAGCAACTTTACAATTTTTAGTTTACTCAAATGAACACTAAATATAAAATATTATTACTTCTTTACCCTCATAAATACTACAGAAGTATTGAAAACAGAACTCGGAGCACTTAAAATAAGTTTTAGATTTACATCTCTGGTGCAACAGCTACATCTAGTGGTGAAAATATGAACTGAGGCCCTGAATTTTCTCCACTGAGACTTGCGAAATTCAATAAGAAAACAAAGAGACCCACGTTTTTATCTTATTTAAAATGTAACCCTTTATTTCTCCTACACAGGTACTTGGCCTCTGGGGACTCCATGGTCAACCTCGCTTGTAGCTATCGGCTCGGTCACTCCACTGTGAGAAACTCTGTTCACATGGTTTATTCAGCCATTGAGAAGGTAATGATGGAGCGTTTCCTCCCCAAACCAACAGAAGACACATGGAAGGAGGTGGCACAAGGCTTCTGGGAAAAGTGGAATTTTCCAAACTGCTTCGGCGCCATTGACGGAAAACACATTTCCATACAGTCACCGCCACGTGCCGGCAGTCAGAACTCCAGTCATGACAGAACTTTTGAAATCTTGCTATTGGCACTTGTGGATGCTGACTGCAGGTTCCGATTTATTCAGGTTGCAGACTTTTGGAGAACCGATGATGGAGGGATGTTTGCTGGGTCCGATCTGGCAAAAAGCATAAAAAGTGGAACTCTCCATGTGCCACCCAGTGCACCTCTCCCCGGTGCAGCACATCTGGGTGATGTACCATTTGTCATGGTGGGTGATGCAGCTTTCCCGCTGAAGACGTATCTGATGAGGCCTTACCCTGAAGTGAGGCTAAATGGCAAAAACAGAATATTTAACTACCGACTTTCGAGAGCAAGGAAAGTGGTGGAAAATGCTTTCGCCATTCTCGCATCACGGTGGAGGATTTTCTTTCGTCACATCAACCTGCAACCACAACGTGTCGAAACGCTGGTTGCTGCGGCTTGCATTCTGCACAACTTCCTGATAGACCCAAATGAGAACCAGAGAATCCTTAATGAAGCAGAGCAATTAGGGCACCGCATGGCAGCAGTGCAAAATATGGGTGGGAACAGGTCATCAAAGGCGGCCATTGGTGTCAGGGAGACCTTGACCACATTTTTCAACTCTGATGAGGGCAGTGTGCCTTGGCAAAGCAAGATGATTTAACATCATGAACCAAAGTAACTTTAATGGACAGAATTTCTAGGGCCAGCAAAGGTGTTGATAGGGTCAATTTCAGTGGCCTTAAGGTCCTGTTTCTATTTTCTGCACATGATGTGGTTCTGTTGGCTTCATCAGGCATGATCTACAGCTCTCCCTTGAGAGGTTTGCAGCTTAGTGTGAAGCAGCCGGGATTTTGTTGTTTTTTTTTTGTGTGTGTGTGTAAGAATTCTGGTGTCAGTGAAAAGTATTTATTTTGTAAATATATGTCTTAAAATTTTGTTTTTTTCATAGGCCTCTTATAACGATAAAGTATGGTGCCCAGAACCTCCCTTTGAGGACATTCAGTGGTCCTGCTACACAGCGTTGTAACCTCTCAACATTTCTCATGTCATTGGCATAACTAAATTTTATTTTAATGCATTTTGCATTTCTAAAAAAAAAAAAAAAAAAGTCAGAAGGGAAGACTGAAAAAAAAAGGCATCTAATAGATTAGAAAAACCAAAGACAACCACATCACATTGGAAGTATTAGGTCAGAACCTCTGACATTTCTTCACAGATAATTCAGACATGGAGCGTCTACAGTTATTTAATACTATGGACAACAAGAGGTTAATTCTAGAGGTAGGAAAACAAAACATTTTCTACAAAGCCGCTTATCCCCTATGGGGACAGCAGAAGGAAATGGCATGGTATGAGATTTATTGTATAAAACAACTTTGAACTTAATGTTTTTCCCGTTTGCATTTGGCAAATTTTCAAAAATAAAAATGTCTACATTTTTTTGAAGAAGACTTAACTCTGTTATTCCACACCTGACTAAAATTCATGCACTTAAATGTTTGTAAAATAATAAATTCCTAGTTCTTTGCTCAGTTACCTGGTAGGTTTAAGCACCACATTAAACTTGATTTCTGCAGCCTTTTTACACCTAAATGACTCTTTGGTCAGAGATAATAGATTTAGGAAGCCAAAATATAAAAGAAGGGGAAAACAAAGAAAATCTTCAGAGGTTCACCAGAAACCTTAAAGAAAAGTTTACTAAAGCCCTGTTTGGGTTAACGCTAATTAGTGACCTCCAAAAAAGTTACTTAGATCCTACAAGATATCGTGAACATTCATTTAAAATCAGCTGGTTTTCATCTCTGCTGAACCATGTGATGGGCGTGCCATGAATAGCAGTTTTTGGTGTTTCACAGAGTACAAAGCTCTTTGCAAACAGCTCCACTCTCTCAGATTCATCCGAAGGTGACCAGATGATGTTGAGGTTTGTATTTGATATTTGTTGTTTCAAGGCTGGATTATTGTTCTTGACTATCAGAAAGACCAAATCCATAGTTAAAAACCTTCAGCTGATACAAAATGCTGCAGCCAAAGTTTTGAATAATCATATTTCTCCTATCCTAGCTTATTTTAATTGACTTCCTGTTAATTCCAGAATAGAATTTTAAATTCTCCTGCTCACATATAAAGCCTTAAATGGCCAAGCTCAATCTTATATTAGAGATCTGTTTGTGCCTTATGTTCCTAACATAATCGACGCCCTACGTTTCTTTTTGATAAAGTGTCTCAGATTATACTGAGATATCTATGACTATGCTGCCGCAGGCTTACCCTGCTGGAGGACATGAGGAGCACTTTTTATTGTTCTGTTTTATTCTATATTGTCAAATTCTCCATTAGTTTTGTTTTAGTAGCTTCATCTGGTCAGGTCCTGATGGCTGCTGTCATTAATTCCTATGTTATAGATAATAGAGTTGGGCCTCTTTAGACATAGCAATAGGCTCAGCTCTTACTGTGACTAACTGTATGTTTTCTCTTTCATTCCTTTAACATGAAATCTGTCTCAGAGCTTGCCTTAACTGTGTCTTTTGTAGTTATAGCCCCTTGTGAAGCTCATTTACTGTCACCTTTTCTTGCCTAGAAAGTTTTTTATAGATCAGTGCTTTTCTGCTCCTCTTGTATTTCTACTTCTGTTTCCTTGAGCCCTAGTCGGCCTCGGCAGAAAAGAACAGCTCACAGTGAACCTGGTGTCTGCTGGAGGTTTCTTCCTGTTAAAACTGAGTTTTTCTTCTCTACTGTTGCCGAATGCAAGCATGGTGCGAGGGCTAGCCAATAGAGTCTGCAACAAAATGCAAGCAATTATCAACAAATATCTACTCATGCTCATTCAGGAGGAGCGAATCCTGCAATGTCAATGACTCAATGCAATCAGCTGTTTCCTTGGATAACATTTTTTAACCAATCTGACTTTATTGTCTCTGTAAAATGACTAGATTGCGTGTTGTTAATTGGCATATATAAATAAATTTAATTGAATATGAGGCTTAAATGGGTATTCTGCTGCTTAAATGAATCCAATCTCATTTTGTTTCATGTTTGAGATAAATATCACACTTAAGATTTTCCAACAATAATTTGACTATTTTAAGCTCATGGTCATTTCTAGAAAGCAAGTTATCATCTGTGTAAATTTAAATCAGTCTATAAATAATAAAAAAGGGTGAGGTTTAAGGTATTTTTTCTTTATCAAAAAAATCTTTGATGCCCTTAACCTTAAAATGATTAACACCTTCACATAGCAAACCTAGATGGCTTGGGTCCAGTTTGACAGTCCACACCTGGACATTCGATAATAAGCCTCCATGTGTACAGCTTTTATTCAATTCGTGAACAGGTTGAGTGATTACCACCTATGGGATCTGTTAAAGAAAATAGTTCAAGAAGCAACAGCATGTTGAATTTCTCCTCTTTTATTTAAACCTTCACCAAAGCTTTTGCTGTGAAGTAACCATTTAGCCTAAAAACCACAGTCTGGATACCAACTTCTGTAACAGAGGGAAGCAAACATGTCTGTCGCCCTCTTGTGGCTAAAAGGCAGAGCAACATCCAAAACAGCCACCCCACTATTGTCTTCCCAAACCACCCACAAATCTATTTATATGAAGGTTATGAAAGGAGCATATGACGCATTACTGAATCCTTAGGGCGCAGCGGGATGGCCTATCTAAAAGCACACGCAAAAAGAAAGAAAAGCACCTTCAGCAGTTAGTTTGTGCGCTTTAAATCCTCCCGCTTCGTTGGAAAACATGAATGACTGAATGATCCTAACAGCATTAATACTCATAGGCTGGACAAAGGGCGCTATTGTTGCCTGCAGATGTCAGTCAGTGGCGCAGTCGCTGTTTAAAGCTCCTCCAATCGCTGCGAATAGCGCCACTGATGGAGGGCGGGGTTTGCCCCCACCCTCCGTATCTGCTCCGAACCCGGTTTTGGCACACAGTCCCATTGAATTACACACAGAGACACGCCGGTTAAAGGAGACCGGGTGGGTACCTGGGGATCTGGATGATTTGCAGCTGCAGGAGGGTAGGGTAGCGTGGGGACACGCGTGAGACCTGTGGCGCACAGGGATGAAGGTCACCCCGTTTTTTTAAGCACCCAGCCAGACGCTCCCCGAGGCCTGGTACGGTTCAGCCCCACATGGATGGATTCAGGAGCTGCACTCATGGAATACAAAGCCCGGCTGAGTCCGCCTCTCATCAGAAGCCTCTCCTCCTGACGCAGCCTCTCGACATGCGGGTGTCTGCTCGGTGATTCGGTGGACCCTGCTCTCTTTGGCTTCTTGCTGTTGTATGTAACGCAAAGGATTCGTCTGCGCTCTGGGATTCCTTTGTGCCAAAGGGTTCAGCACAGGGTGCGCAAGGGGCGACGAAGCGGGAGGGGGTGGAGGGGCTTCGGTTGCGCACAGCTGCTGTGTTTTTGTGCCCGGGTCGCGATGGCGCACAGCCGACCGGAGGCACACGAACACCCGCCCGAGAATGGCTTCACCCCGCTGGAGCGACCCGCGCTCCGAATGCTGCCGCACATCGACGGGTGCGTTCTGCCATCTCTGGGGGGGTTCGGGAGACACCAGAAGCAGCTGGTGGTCCTGACCTGGATACCTGCGCTGTTCATCGGCTTCAGCCAGTTCTCGGACCACTTTCTGCTGGCGCAGCCTAACGGCACGTGCGTGATGCCCGCGGGTAACTATAGTAACTGGACCGGGTCACCGCTGCTTGCCATTGGGGCGCCCGCACTGCAGCTCGGGACCAACGGCACCGCGGAGGGACCCGGGGACGGTACTGGACTGCTGTGCGCCTGTGAGGAGCAGAGGCTGGAGCTGCAGACGGGACTCCTTCAGAATGTGGTTACCAAGGTAACGCTCTGTTCCCCATCCTCATCCTCACCATCAGTGTGCTCCGATGCTGAGTGTAGAACAAACAGCTGACTGGCAGCTTACCCACTGACCTCAATATGACAAGCAGCAGCTGAAGGTTTGGAGTGTTGCTGAAAGCTTTTATAGAAAATCAACATCATTAATAATTAGGTAAATGCTGCAAATTAGGATGGCAGAATAAAAACTAAGAGGCATTACTCCAGGCGTCAAGGTTACAGTTCTGAAAATAAACAGCTTAATGCACCATCTTTTTGCAACCATTTTTATTTGGATTTTCTGTAATAAAATAACAATAAGATTATTTTAAAAATGTGTTGTTTTTTTAATAATTTATTGAAAAATCCTTAATTCTAATGGCTGTAAGGAAAATCTAGAACAACATATTGAAAATAAAGTCCAACTGTGTGCATTTAGATTCCAGCAAAGACTATTGTAACTCTGCAGGAACTGCATTGAACCACAGCCTATTAGAGAAGTTAGGTGAGAGAGGAAATCTGGACTTTATGGAATGATAATATAAAGAAAGACATAGTTGAATGAAAGCACTAAGAATCCCTATTTGCTATCGGCTTTAATTCAAGAAAGCATCAAACATGTTGGAGAAGGTGGACATATACTGTAAGACCAAACATGAAAGGAAGAAGTTTAGCTGGGAGCCATATGCAGTGCAGTGATGGTGAACAATATAAGTTGGTTGATTTTAGAGAAATGTTTTTATAAAATGCAAGGCTTAAAATGAATGCAACCAATTTCTGCTTTGCATGCATCAGCAACATAGATTTCCTCACTCAGCATAACAAAACAAATGTTGGAGGTGTATTCCATATCTGCACCAGAGGCTATTTTTATTTCTAAAATAATCATGCAAAGCAACTAAAGGAACCTTGGGTGGGAGTTTTCTAAATAATAATCAGTGTCTACACACCTAAAATGGACTGCAGGGTTACTGATTTAAGAGTTCTTTAGCAGATATAGAACAAGATGTACCTTCACATTTGATTCATTGTCTGCTGTCTGCCTTTCAGAGGAGGCGGGCCTCAGTGGTGTGTTCACTGACCCATGAGAGGAAAACGTAAATGATGTCAGAGTGGTCAAGCTCACACCTTTTCATTTTTCCCTTCATTTGCCCTTATTTTATTCCAACACATGCTAATGTTTTCTCTTGATATAATAGATTTCCATGTGAATGTTTCAGAATAATCCAAAGATCTAATGATAAATGTTTGTTTTCGGTTTTCACCTGAGGTGTCCTGCCAAAAGGCCTGTACTTTTCAAGTTAGTTATTGTTATAATAGGTATTTGCCTATTAATGCACTCTAGTCACACTGACAGAAATGAGGCTCCCTCTGCCCACCATTAATAGGCAATGCCAACTAAAATTTAAAGTGTCTTGGACACAGTGACTGAACAGAAAGTTGGGGTTTGGACCAGCAACCCTCAGGTTGGAAGATTAACGTTTTCATCCTATGCTGCTGTTGCCCCTTGTTGCATGTTCTGATGCTGAGTTACCTTTTCCTGGAGGATTTCCACTTTACTAAAGCTGCTTATTATCTGTGTTTTAGTGGCACCTGGTGTGTGACTCGGCCTGGAAGGTTCACATAGCCAAGTTCTCCTTGCTGGTGGGCTCAATCTTTGGCTACCTGGTGATGGGTGTCATGGCTGACTGGTAAGGTCCACTCTATTAAAGTGTCAAAAAGAATAAAGTCTGCTCTAAAATGTTTTCATGGAACCAGAATAATTTTCTTTTAACTCATTTAGTCGTATCTAGTCCCAAATAAGATTTACTTTTTTACAGCATTGATGCCTCCCCAGACATGGGCAATGTGGAGTCAACAAGTCATCTCCATGTCATGTATTTGTTCTACCCAGCCACTGAAGCAGGTGAGTCCAATCTTCAGCGTGAATTAACCTGTGCAGATTGGACTCACCTGGTTAATTGACTGGGTAGATTAAATACATGACATGGAGATGACTTGTTGACTCCACATTGCCCATGCCTGTGCCTCCCTGTTTAATTCAGTTATAAAAAATGGTTTGAATGCAAAATTTAAATACGGGGAATTGGCTTTTAAAACAAGCAGCTGCACCTGTTTTATGTATTTTGCTGCATCCTTCCATTGATTGATATTAACTACTTTATAATAAAAAAATATTCAGTTATGGTTAAATAAAATCCACTTAAAACATTTTAGATATTTAGCATCGATAAAAAAAATTTTAATTTTTTTTTCTGTCTTACCAGACACTTCCTAATTTTAGACCTACAGATTATTTCTGTTTCCCAAATGTCAGAATTATACAAGAAACTTTTAGCTGTTGTTGTTACTTTATTCAAATTCAGCCTGCTAGCACCACCCCCACTTGGATTCGTTTACAACAAGACATAAAAGAAAAGAAAAAATCAGCTTTTGTTCTGAAACCAATAATATGTGAAACCACAGAACTCAGGTTCAGGAAGCTGTCCCTCTGTAAATCAGAGGGTCAACTTTGGGACAGCATCTGCATGCATTCACAGCTGTTTGGTTCTGTAATGTTACACAAAAAAGAGCTGGTTTTCTTTGTTAACAAGTTTACTTCTTGTTTTAAATATTTAAATTATCTTAAACACCAGTAAAGGCCAAACCTGCACTGATACAAATGGATTAATAATCACATTCATCAGTTGCGAAAGGATGAAGCCTGTTAAAATACCACTCTTTACCATTTCTTACTGCTTTTTAAACTTCTTTTAACACATTTTTGTCAATTAAAAGCAATGGAAAAAAGTAATAGAATTACCATTACTTCTACTTTACTTCCAATATACTACATCAAATGCTGCTGAGATGGATTTGAAGAGTACATGGCTTTGTTTCAAGCTCTCAAAGGTTGATTTTAGTTTTGTGTGAATACACAGTATGACTGTAGATGTAGCTGGTCTTTCTAAATTTAAACATACATCCCTAGGCGTTTTCTCAGTTGGATTTTTGGCAAAAATAAAAATCAAGGAGACAAAGACCAGGTGCATCCTGTATCTCAGGGTGCTGCCTTCCTTTGCTCCCTCTGATTTATTAGAGCTAAGGCAACCATATTATCTGCTCTGAACCAGCATATTTTTATGTAACTTGTCTTCATGACTTCATGTTTGCAGACTCACAGGAATTTAATATTAAAAATTCTTACACAGCTAATGGGTAGTTCAATAGTTTTTGCCTTTTAACTGCAAAAACGGAGCTCTATAACATTGACTTTACGACTCATTTTTACCAGTTTAAAGACTTGACATAAACAAATACAAAGGGATAGCCTCATCGGTACAAGCAGAAACAGCCTTATAATCATCAGCTCATCACATAAAAAGTGACTTTTTTTTGTCCAAACAGGATTTGGATTATTTAAGGGCTGAAACATAGAACAGTATGAATGTTTTTTTATGCAGGAATTGGATTATAAGGTGAAAGTTTAAAGGAATAGTACACCCAAAACATGATTAGCCTTCATTTTCTACTCATCCCCATGCTGAACAACACTCTGGAGTACTTTTTTGATATCTCAAATGCATCTGGAGATCTGGGAGGCTTCTTGCTGTCTGCTGACATTCAAATAATGGAGGTCCATAGCGCCCGAGACAGAAAGGTCCATAAAAGTCCACAAAAAACGTGTCAATATTCCTCCATACTGCTCGTCCAATGTATTCCAAGTGTCCTGAGTGGGTAGCATCCAGAATTTACTCGAAACGAAGTCATTTAGAATGTTTTTAGTGCATAAACAGTAGTGTATAGGATTTCCTGAAAGCGCGCACCTGCGCGATCACGACGCTACGGAAGCCGGCAGACCAAACCAGATGAAAGTGCGCATTCAGCGTCTGCTCTGCCAATAATGCAAGCGTAGAAGAAGAAATGTGCTGTTTACCTGTGCAAAGAAAGAAACAACGAAAGAAAAATGTCTGAGGACTTCAGTGTTGAGGAAGAGCATGAGTTCTTTGCCGAGCTGAATGCGCTGGTTTGGTCTGCCGGCTTCTGTAGCGTCGTGAACGCGTATGTGCGCGCTTTCAGGAAATCCTATACACTACTGTTTATGCTCTAAAAACATTCTAAATGACTTCGTTTCGAGTAAATTCTGGATGCTACCCACTCAGGACACTTGGAATACATTGGACGAGCAGTATGGAGGAATATTGACACATTTTTTGTGGACTTTTATGGACCTTTCTGCCTCGGGCGCCATAGACCTCCATTATTTGAATGTCAGCAGACAGCAAGAAGCCTTCCAGATCTCCAGATGCATTTGAGATATCAAAAAAGTACTCCAGAGTGTTGTTCACCATGGGGGTGAGTAGAAAATGAAGGCTAATCATGTTTTGGGTGTACTATTCCTTTAATTCTTTATTAGATAGTTTGCTGAAAGTTAACTGTTTTGGTCATATTTTCTTCAGTAAACATTTATTCTAAAGTTGTGTTCTAACCAGCTGTTCCTAGATCCGCTTCCAGAAGCTTTACATAATCCTCAAATTCCCACGGGAAGAGTTTTAAATTAATAAAAAATAAATAAATCAGTTTTTTTCTCTTAGATACCAATAAAAATAAGAGTCTGTTGTTGTTCTCTGAGGTTTCTGTCTGGTCTTTCGATGTTGGTTCAATGTGGTCACGTCTTCAGGCTTGGGGACCACCTGAGCTGGACCGTGGGAGGAAATGGATAAGTAACAATGGAAACAATGCAGCAGCTCTGACCTGACCTGCTAACCTAATGACCCCTTTCTCCTTTTGAACAAGTACACAGAGTGATCTTTCATCTAACCTCTCTGCAGTTTTGCTCTTTTTTTAAGAGGTACAATGAAAAAGCAAGTACCCAAGAGGTATAGCCAGGTGCCCATAACTGAAGCACTGGAAAGAGCCAAACAAAGGCTCCAAGCCTTGGCCAGCCGCCTAAGACTTAGACTTAGACAGATTTATTTTGTCATTTTGTTTACACCCGTCTAAACAAAAAAATGTTTTAGACTCCGCCCACAAAAAGAATGTGGGCGGAGTCCACAAAAATGTGGGCGGAGTCAAAGGGTGTGGAATTCACTGATGATGTCATGATTTCCTTTGATCATTTCTATGTTCCTTGAGGGTGGTGGTAGCATTCTAGCTGAGGCTCCCAGCGGTAAGCTGACTATTATTGTTCCTCTAAGCTATTTTGGATTTAAACTGCAAGAAATCACAAAATGCCTTCCCGGGAAAAGTATATTGAACTAAAAGAGTTGCGTGAGTTGAATAGGAGAAACGTCCAACACCTCTGTGGACTTAACGAGCAACTTGAAAGGGATTTACCTGAAATAGACTTTACATGTGATGCTAACAGCTGGATTAAAGCTGAGATAAAGTTTAGCAAACAGTTGGAAAAAAGGGCCCATGAGCTTCAACAGGAACTCAAAGCCCAGGAGGCTTTCCGGATGAAACAACATCAGGAAGATGAAAAAGTAGAAGCTTTACGTCAGAGAAATGCTGAACTTAAGCAGCAGGCAAAAACAGCAGAAGAACAGTTAGTCGATACAACTGTAATGAAGCTTCAGTTCAAAATTGCAAAAGCGCAGGAGGAAAAGTTAAAGAAAAACAACAAGATATTGATGGAAAAGGTTGAGAGCTTGACAAAAGAACTGTCATTTCAAACTAAACTGGATAAGAGTTACAGAGAGACTCAAGAATTGCTTGGTGAGTTGGAGAAAACTGAAGAAAGTTTTTTGCAAAAGATTCAGGAAAAAAAACAAAACTTGGAACCTGGGATGTCTACATGGTTCGCCTATTTGGGAAAAACGAAGCAACACAAGATTGAAAAGCAAATAACTTCCATCATGAAGAAAATGAAGGATATGAAAAAATATCTTGATCATATTGAGCCCTATTTTAGAAAAGACCCGACGCTCATGAACAACTTTCTGTCTATGGCAAGTGAGACATCTGAGGAAACCGACTCACAAGACTCACAAGACAGTGAGTCAGAAATAGAAGAGGTTTCAGAGCTGTCCAAACTTCAATGTGAATCCTCCACTGACCCAGAGTTGAGGACGTCCAAACCTGAATGTGAATCCTCCACTGACCCAGAGTTGAGGACGTCCAAATCTGAATGTCAAACCTTTTCTGACCCAGAATTGAGGACGATCTCTGAAGCAGATTCAGAGGAACAATCTGTGGAGACGGTGGCAGGAATGCTCAGTTTCAGTGAAGTGTTAAGATATTGCAGCATAATATTTAAAAACACATGATTGGGGGATGGGGAATTTTGTACGTATAAGCCCACTTTGTTGGGATGTGTGTGAGTAAATCACACTAGTTTATTCTTTAAAAAAGCTTGTGCATAGTTATTAACACTGCTGCATCACTGCACTGCAGGGTTCAAAGCTCACCTGCTGTGTTTCTCTGTGATGTTGGTGTGCTGTGACTGTGCATCTGTGGGTTCTCTCCAGGGGCTCTGGCTCGCCCACAGGGTTTTAAAACCTCCTCGATTGGTTTACTAGTTTGTAGAAATGTAATATCACTAGTCTTTTCTTCTGGTACCTTGCTGCCTGCTTATGCAGCTTAAAATATCTCGGTCTGTTAAGTTGGATGAACAGTAGTGTGTCAAACATCCTTTCACAGGGGTTTAGGGTTTTCCAGCAGGAAAGATATGATTGGTCTGGCTTGGGAGAACGGTTAAACATGGGCATCATGTTACTGCTCCACATGAAGTGGACCAACTTTAGTGATCTGCCATTCTGGGATTTTTGGTTATGTCACTAGAGGGTCCCACACTGCGGTATTGAGTTCACTTGCTGTTTTGACTGCTGAGCTGTTGTTCAGGCTTCTCTGTCTTTTTCTTTCTGTGATATCTCCTTATCTAAGTAACTCTAACTGTCCAGAAGCACTTTAAAGCCTAGCTTGAACATCCAGGTGTTAACATAGGCCCACCTTTAAGCCACGAAGACACCCCACGTGGTTGTCCTCTAACATTGCCTGAGCAGCTATGCGATTGGGTAACCGTACGCAGAAAACGTAGTCGTAGATATCTGCCCACTGGTCACCACTAACCCATCCGTATTTCTATCCGATTTTTTCCCGCTCAATGACGTACCCACTGGGTATTCATGCGGTAATGACACCCGGTTACGCCGATCGGAGGTCACTAAAATTAGTGTTGCTTCAGTGTGTAAGTTTGCCAAAACAATGTTGGGCTCGGTAATTTTCTCTGGTCCCCTCCCTGATCTGACCAGTGATGACATGTTTAGCCGCATGTCGTCATTCATCCGCTGGTTGTCTAGGTGGTGTCCGGAAAACAATGTGGGCTACATTAGTCTTGGTGGTCTGGTCCAAACTGTAGGAAAACTGTAAATCCCACACCAATGAGAGTTCCATTTCCTGAATCCTGACAAAATTTAACTACGTTTTGATGTATAATTCGAATGGGTAGTTTAAACATTCAGCGAGTTAGCAAAAGTTGTTTGCCAAAAGCAAAATGTTCGAAAGCTCTACTTGGCTCACTCTAGGAGCGCAAAGATTCCGTCATTTAACTTCCATTATGAAACCGAAAATATTTAAAAAATAGTAAAACGTTTGAAACTTCACTGAAGCAAAACTGTAAAAGTGCAAAATTCTGCATTAAACCGCTTGATTCTAACCAATTCCACTGTTGCTGGGTTAAGTGTGAAGATGTTTCGACTAATTACATATGAAAAAGGTACTAGTTTTAATATTTTCGTGAATCCTCCACTGACCCAGAGTTGAGGACGTCCAAACTTCAATGTGAAACCTTTTCTGACCCAGAGTTGAGGACGATCTCTGAAGCAGAATCAGAGGAACAATCTGTGGAGATGTTGAAAGGAAAGCTCAGTTCCAGTGAAGTGTTAAGATATTACAGCATAATATTTAATGACAGATGATTTGGGGATGGGGAATTTTGTACGTATAAGCCCGATATGTTGGGATGTGTGTGAGTAAATCACACTAGTTCATTCTTTAAGTTCTTTGCTGCTTCTCTGTCTCTGTCTCCAAGGTTTGGCCGACACCCCGTGCTGATTCTCTCGGCCCTTTTCATGCTGGTGTTTGGCCTTTCTGTCGCCTTCTCTATAAATGTCACCATGTTCAGCACCTTACGTTTCTTTGAGGGTTTCTGCTTGGCGGGCCTCGCTCTCTCCCTCTACGTGCTCAGTAAGTACAAGCTTTCTCTTCCTGCTAGTTGTCTTCTTGCTCTCCTGCTGCAGTTTATCTTCCTCTATTTTTTCTTCAGCTATGAAACACTGAAGGGAACAAAGGACAAAAGGAGAAAAAAACTACAAAAAAACCCCATCAAAAATGCCCCTTTGTTAATTTAACACAGAAACTTAATTGATTAATTAATCCCAAAGTAGACAAAACAAACCTAGAGTTTTAAAACATTTAACTGCTTAAGAAAGACATTTTAATTCCTTGAAGCTTTAGTTTAGTTTTCTTTTTTTTTTTTTTTTTGCTGCATTCAAATATTTCAGAATATCAAAGATATTCATTGTACAAGGATACCTTAGATAAATACACAAAACAGTTAAGTAATGGTTTTGTTTATTATATGTGAAACAAGCTATCTAGACCAGCCTGCTCCCATGAAATTAATTAACTAAATCAATAGTTTTCCCCCTCTTGGCAGAAAAAAAACTGCATTGCCTTTGGTAAATATTAACACCACTGCACTTTTTTCCACATTCTGTTATGTTTCAGCCTTATACTCAACGGTATTATTCTATTTCCTCAAAATCCTATACAATATATCCCATTGTGATAACTTAAAAAAATGTTGGGGGGATTGATTACAATATATTGTTATTATTTTTGAATGGTTTAATTGATTTTTCTCTGGACTCTGGCTTGGCCTTAATTTAAGTCTTTTAAACATATTTTAGGAAATTCATGGGGTTTCTAATATATTAGAGAAAATGAAGAGAAAATTAAATTGCAAAGATTGTAAAAGAATTATTTTTTTCTTTCATTTCTTAACTAAAGTCTCTCAATTTTATGTTAAATGCTTTATCAAATAGGTTCTTCGGGGCGTCAGGCTGACAGAAAACTGGCAGATGATGTCCCGTCCCCCCCGTCACCCTCTGCGGGCCTTTTCAGGCCACTGTGAGATTAGTCAGACATGATGTGGGAAGCTCAGACTCTCTCAGGTGGCAGGGTGTTGTTTTGTCCTCCCTCTGCAGGGGTCCCTGATACATTTTCAATGGCTCCCTTCTACCTAACAAACAGACAAAGCAAAGTCAGTGGAGCCGTCTGTGGAGACACCTCTGAGGACTAGGATTTATCAGTGATGTAAACACCAGGATGTGAAGTCAGTGAGATAAATGGGATGAAATATAACAAAAACATTTCTGTGTTGATTTAACTCAAAAAGCATAAATCAGAAACTGCATTTCCTTTTTTCTGAATATGCATCTATGTCTTTGGTTGGATAAGAGGGGACCTGATTATGTGCAGGGATGCAGTTTGAAGTGAAGCGAAATGTGTTTGGGTTAGGAGTTTGTTGGCTGGGGGAGGTGTGTTGTATATGTTTACAGTAAAAACAAAATAGGTTTAAACATGATTCATTAAATGACATTTCTCCAGCACCTCATTCCAACAAAACACGTTTTTTTTTTTTCAAATTAAAACAAGACTAGCAGTAAAGATGTAGATGGACTCTTAGAAAATGTACTTGCTTAAGCATCTTATGGTAAAGGCATAGCTGGTCAAAGAAAGCTGGATAAAACATCCTCAAACCAAGTTTTTAAGTAAGTCTGTGATGATTGTTCTGCAGGGCAACCCACTTTTCTCCACAATCTGGCTGATTCAGTTGTTAGGTGCTCTAAAATGGATGGTGTTCTCTATATATGGGTGCCAGTCTGCCTTAGCGCATAGTTGCGCATTTACAGTACCACAGGTGCCCAAATGTATTTTTAGCCTTTGACTCACTGTCAGGTGATGCTGCTGCAGGTAAACAAAGCACTTCATTATGTCACACTACACTTTCACTAGTTAATTTCTTCAGCAGCCTGAAGCAAAGCTGATCTGACCAATCAAATTGCACATAAAGGACCGGCAGTTTCATGGATATGCATTTTTCCACAAAATATGTCCAGGTCCAGGGTCAGTTAGATTGGCATGAGATCACACAAAGACAGGAGTGCCATGAGTTGATCTGACTTTGAATCAGAAAAACAACGAACCACAAAATATGATTCAACAATTCAGCGCTAGTTGAGTGGAGACGGATTTGGCAAAGCCCTTTTCGAGGGTTTCAGACCCCCAAGGCATCCCCCCTTTAGCTGCAGTCAGGTTTATGTAGATATCTTTGCCTATAGACATATTTGTAAACCCTTTGTAGTTTGAAGGTAATCCACACTAAATTATAACCTGGTTATGCAACTATTGCTTTAAAATGAATAGTTTTCCTTGCATGTATGTATGACATGTATGTTATGCTTCCTTCTCATTCAAACAGTCTGTACTCATTGGACCCCACTAGTCTAGAAACATTTTGTTTGTCATTATATACATGAGATAAAAAGGCAAGAACCAAAACTTAAAAAGCTGCTTTAACTTGATTCTTTAGCCCATATTAGTCTCTTTTGGATATTATTCTCAGCAAATGCGTTCTTATTAAAAAGCCATCCACTCATTAATTTTCCACCCCGCTTTATCCCTGCTGGGGTCGTGAAGGGTGCTGGTGCCTATCTCCAGCTGTCTACGGGCGACAGGCGGGGTACACCCTGGACAGGTCGCCAGTCCTTCGCAGGGAGACACACAAGGAGAAGTTAGAGAAGGCAAGTAACCTAACAGTCATGTTTTTGGACTGTGTGAGGAAGCCAGAGTAACCAGAGAGAACCCACGCATGCTCAGGGAGAACATGCAAACTCCATGGAGTAAGACCCCAGGCTAGGAATCAAACCCAGGACCTTCGTTCTGCCCCACTGAGCAGCCTTTAATCATCACCATCCACTACATGCCACTTAAATAAAGTTAGTAAAAAACATAATGATTAATGAAAGAATATGGGTAAATAGAAAAAAGGTTGTCAGTTCTTTCTTATTTTTGTTTTTTGTTTTAGCTTTAGCCTCTAAATAATAATAGTAAATAATCCTTATTTACTGTCCTGATTAAACAAACAAGCCATTTTCAAGAAAACATATATTAAAAAAAAGATATGTGAAGCCTCTTAGGATGAAAAAGTTAAAACTTTTGAATTAATCCATAAAATAGTCTTTAAATGTAATATCATCGAGCTAAGTACAAACTGTCCCGTGGTTGTAAAGCTGTACGCTCAAACAGGGGCACAGAAAGGTAGAAATAAACATGTAGGATTAACTTACTGTATTATAGATGAAGGAGGAGTATTCCAGAAATATCTCTGCATGCCTCCTGTGCTCTTTTCACCCACTGCTGTTGTAAATTAAGTCCTAAACTTCTGCTTCTAAATCTTCCCTGCTCCCCATTAACCCCCCTCCTCTACCTCATCCCCTCCCGATTTATTACACCCACACCACCTCTCGCTCATATTAAATCTCTGTGTTTGCTTATCTCTCTGCAGCACGCACTGCATAATGAACTCTACTGGAGCAGTCTGACGGATGCTTAGTTTTCTCTCATAAATAAAATGTGTTTGTGGTATATTTATCTGCTTATTGGCAACCTTTGCTCTGACCTAATATTTGCAATGTTGAACCATACTTATTTAAAATACATAAAAATCGGGTTTATATATTGAGTATTAATAAAGCATACTTAAAATCAATAATAATGAGTGTTTGTTTAAATTAAATAAAGTTTCCTTTTTGAATTACATAAAGGAATCTGATTATTATGTAGTTCCAACTAATAAAATGTACCCGGTATGTGTTTGAAATAAATACAGTAATTAGTATTTTTGTTTAAGTATACTTTATTAATTCTAAATTCATAAACCTGACATTTAAGTATTTTGAATAAAAAAAAAAAACCTTTATTAAACTAATGAAAATGCATCATGTAAGGTTTATTTAATAGGTTTGTCTTACTTAAACACATTATCATAAACAACAAAATGGGATTTTCTAATGTAATCAAATTACATAAATTTTAAAGTTTGGTTGAAATACTTTAGTGAATGTAGAGTCCTAACATTTAAATCTGACTTTACCAGTTTTATCTTCAGCTTAGCAGCTTTTTTACTCCTTTAGTTGAATTCTTTGCATATTTTTTTAAAATTCGCAGACGGTAATAAACAAGTTCTAAAATGTAAGGCATGTAAAAATGTCTTCAAATGTTACATATTAAAAAATGAAATGTTTTCCAGCTTCTTATTAGAATCAGGAAAAGGCATAATTTTCAGGTATCTTATGGATGATGGAAAATATTGGTTTACAACAGTGAATCCATTAATTTCTTACCTGAACAGACAGAAAGGTTTAGAGGTGTGGCTGTCTAGATGGAAATCTGAAAAGCATCTTCTGGATGAGTAAATATGCAGCTGCTAGGTAACAGAATTGCTCCGTCACTTGAGAGAATAAACTCTTCAATCAGAGTAAGAACCAAATGGAAAGCTATAGTTACTTCTGCATTTATTGGAAAAGTACATACAAGTAAATATGTGTCAATAATTAAAGGAGTTCAGATGCTCTGTGAGATTAGAAGCAAAAACTAAAATTAACTAAACTCATTCTCATTTGTAACCCGGGATGGAAGTAATTTTCCCATAAGTGAGATCAGTCCTGTCCTCCAACAATCGCTGATTTTGAATAGTGCAAATAGGTTAGGTCACTTAAGCCAAAGAGGAAGTGCATCAGAGCTATCTGAATATTGCTGACAGTAAGGAATTGGGTAGAAGAGGAAGAGGGATGCTTCCTACCGATGGTTAATTTAGCATAGAGACCTCCTGACATTCCTATCCGTCCCATAGCAGCTATGTGGTCACCTTTACTCCTTTGCATGAAAGGACATTTAGCCACAGTCCATCTCACAGATACTGGAAAATATATATATTATTGTTTAACATGTACACACCTTCATATGCTTTAGGTTTTATAGTGGAGAGCTGTATGGCTTCTTCAGTAACTTTTGTCTTCATTGTTCTTTTTTGGAAGGCTGTAGTCCCAATTTTTACTTGCTTTGTCCAGGTGTGTTTCTGTTGCGTAGTAACATCCACCGGCTGAATGCCTTCTGGATTC